AATTGTAGTTGAAGGAAATTAATTTACCAAGTTGCAAGCCATGTTGGCAGCTTCTATCCTAAATAGTTTAGGTAGATCAACATTAGAAAGCATGCATTTTGCATTCTCTAGAATTGTTACATTCATTTGCTCTACAACACTATCTTGCTATGGTGTTTGGGGGACAGTGTGATGTTTAACGATTTTTTCATTCTTGCAAAACAGATTGAACTCACTTTTGTACAATTCCAAGCCATTGTCTGTTTAGAGTCATTTGATCTTTTTCCCAATATACTTCTCAATGAATATACGCCTTTCAATGCAGAAATATAGTGACCACTTTACTCTTTGCTCTCAAAAGATATATCGTGTAGAATCCTTAATTTTCATATAGGTAAAAATGTAAATTCTTGGTGAGCTTTAGTAAATATTTTTCAACCAAATATTTTTAAAATTTATTCTTTGAAAAACCTATATTTTAAATTATTAAGTTTATTTGAAAGAAAGAAGAGAGGGAAAAACCAAAAATAAGTGTATTTTACAACAAAGGAGCTTTGACCGAGTTAAAGAAAAGTTAAAAAAATGAAAAGGCAAAATGGTAATTTTTTTGTTTTCCATAAGGTCATCTTTCTCTCCATTGGATATATTCAAATGAAAATGCTCTTTCCCTTTTTAGTGCCTTCTATAGTCCTTATTACATTAACAATGCATGCATCTTAACACGTCACAAGTTTAAATCATTTTTTCTATTAAACTTTTCAATTTTGTACTTGATGGATGAAACTACCATCGCGAGATTCAAATTAACTCAAGATTTAAAACTCTAATACCAATTAGTTATAAAAATAATAAAATAATCTCAAATAGTCGTTCAAGATCTTTCACAATCAATAAAATGAATGAATGAAAGAAATCAACACACTTACAAGAAAATAAGAAATTTATATGATTTGGCTTTTTGATGACCCACGTCCATGGACACAACGACAGAAAAAGATTCATCAAGAAAAAATCAAGAGATTGCAAGATTAGTCTCAAAGTCGCTATTGTTATCCTACTTACACCCAATTCTCTCCTTTTAGATCTAGACACTCATCAAACTCTCTTTTAGCTTAATAATATTCTTTAACCCCATACGATAATTTTATAGGATCAAGTATAAGAGTCTTATATATTTTAGTTTAATTACGATTTAGTATCTTAATCCAACTATAATAAAATATCTTAGTTGTTGTAACATGTAGGCTTGAAAACCCGATCGCTAGACGTGGATGACTTAGGGAGTCACCGCTAATTTTTTTTTTTTACCTAGGTGCAATTAGTCACCTATTAAATTGGTTTTATTTGACGAAATCCTAAATTGACTCTAGGTCCGTTGAAAGAACGATAAATTGATCTATATATTTTATTTAGAGTTGGATTCGAGAGTACGATTACGCACAGGGAAGGATTTGTACTCCTATGATGCCCATTTCACGAATAGTACCATTTAATCATATATTATCCTAACACATTAAATTTATTCTTATGTTTTCTTAATTATTATTTATTTATTTTATCTTTTATTCTATTAACAATTTAAAATATTTTTATTTGATTTTACAGATTTGACGTGCACGTGATAAAATTATAAAATGCATGGCATAATATCGAGATAATGCCAAACGAAAACCTTTTGTTGAGTGTACTTTTTGAATTCGCCCATCATACTAGTAGGATCCGATAATATCCTTTCACCTAAGGAAATACCCGAGAAACTTGTCTTTGTAAATTTACTAGGTAAATCTCATTATTGGGGATAGTTGTTTGTAAGTAAAAATAATATTTTTTCGAGAATGCAAACTTACTACAAACGGAAGCTTTTTATTAAAGATATTTTTCGGGCCTTTTTATCATACTGGTGGGACTCGAAGATATCCTTTCACCTAAGAAATTTTTTGAAGAAACTCGCCTTTGCATGCTCCCTCAAAAAGTCTCATCATCAAGGCTTATACTTGTATACAAAATGTCTATATGCCATGATATTTAAAATGTAACCATGGTACGTGATGCACTTATAATTCTAATGTTTGTTCCTTATTTTATTATTTTTTCGTGTGAGCATATATACCGTGACTAAATATTTTATATTAACTTATTGTTCTATTTTTATTTTGTTATGTATTTTGCTAAGTAAGTATTTAAAATTTTCTTAAATCATATTTTTAGACCAAGTATATTTTTTTATCTTTCGTAATTATTATTTATTTATATGTATTTTATCTATTTCTTTTTGTATTATTATTATGATTACCAAATTTGTTGTTATCATTAATTTATTCTTTCTTTTGTTTGTATATTTTGATTAGTTGGTAATTAAATATGTTTAGTTTTTTATTTTATTTAAAATCAGGAACATCGAAATTCTAAAATTCCTTATTTTTTGTTGTACCTTCTCTCTTTCTCTTTTCTCCTTCATTTCCTCATTTCTCTTTCTCTAGCGTCCTTTTCTTTCTCTTCCGCTCCTTTTGGCCGGCGTTTTCCCTCCATCTCTCTGTCTCTCTCTTTTTCTTCTTTCCTTTCTCTCCCTCGTCCTTTTTTTTCTCTTTCCCTCTCTCTCTCTTTTTCTTTTCCTTCCTTCTCCCTCTTCTTGGCTTTCCTTTCTTCCCTTCTTTCTTTTTTTTTCCCTTCCCTCTCTCTTTCTTCCTCACCGACGTCTTCTTTCCCTTTAGCTGGCTTTGTCACCAGCCCACCCTTTTGATTCAAACCCAACCCACCAAAGAGAATTCGCTCCTCTCCTCTCTCACTACCCGAACCCACTGGCTTTCTCTCTTTTTTTTATGCTTTTTTTTATTATGATTTTTTTGATTGTGGTTAGAGTAGTTGGCTGATAGAATTTAGGATTTTTAGTTTGATTTGTAGGTTTCTGTTGTTGAAGAAAATGGGTTTTTTTTGTTGTTGTTGGATCTGTTTTTTTTTTTTCGTTTCAAAATCGTCTCCTGTTTTTTGTTTAAGAACCACTTTTAAGAGTTGAATTGTTCTTGGACAATCCAAGAAGTGAAATCATGCTCTTCTGAGTTGTATTGTCCTTGGCACTTAGAGGGTTGCTAGCCGGAGGTGACCCTTCCTCCCCATCTAGCTACTTCCCAAACATTAAATGCTTTGCAATGATTGATTGGAGAGAGTGCACTGTGCAACAGTTCTCTTTCTTTTTCTTTTTGTTTTCAAACTATTTGATTTTAATTTATTTTGATTAATTTTTATTATGTATGTATTTTATAAGTGTCTACATTAGAATCGGACAAAATATTTTAATCTAATTAGAATTCAAGAATATTTAAACAATAGAGCAAGAAAAAGTAGTTACTTGCGAGTTACATGCACATGGTGGGAGCCATTATTAAGAGTAATATGCGCTTCATGGACGAACATGTTTTCCCATTATATACAGTGGGTAGTGGTTGTATCACTTGTTCTTGAAGATAAGGGAAATGAGAAGAGGGAAAAGCACTCATACTCTAGAGAAATGTTAAAAGGAGCATGTTTTTATCGATTTTCATATTTAAGCACCAAATTAAACGCTTTAAAACATTTTAATAGTGAAAATTTAACATGTGAATCCCGTCACTAATCTTAGATTACTTTCAATGCTTTAATACAATTCATTCATTGCTCTCTATAGAATCATATGATTCTGTGAAAAACTTCATGTAATGCAATAACATAGATAATATGTTAATAGTCAGTTTTTTATTTGAAAATTAAAAATAGTCAAAGTTGAGCATCTACAATTATTTATTACTTTTATTGCTATTATGCCATTGTAAATTTTGTCTGCTTGCATAAAGAACAGAAAATTGGTATTGGGTATAATTTAAAAAAGGAAATTGAAAAACAAAATCTTGCAAAGGTTCAAGAAGACTTCATTAAGTAAAATTAAGTAACATTTTCAAATCAAGCAAAGGTTCGAGAAGAGTTGGATTGTCTTCTAATTAACCACTCTACTTCATGAGATAGAGATAAAGCATGTCTAGCTAAAGAATGAGCTGTGGTGTTTCCTTCCCTTTTACCTAAAGACCAAACACATAACATTACAAGCCTTTGAATTGATATCTACGATGATATGTATCATTAAAGAACAGCTTGAACTTTCTACTTTGAGCTCAAAAGGAATCAATCTCAATGATCACATAAGAAATTCCAGTATCTTCAAATAAAACCAGTCCTCCAAATACCATAACTTCCGGAGCAAACATTGAAAGAGAGGATAAGAAAATTTGGTATTCTATCCTCCCAACATATATATATATATATATATATATATATAATTTTTTTTACATAGTTAATTAAACATAAAAATGAATAGAAACAAGTGGGGTTTTGGGCCGACTAGAACTGATGTCTTCTTCAGTTTCCCCTTGACTTGGATTTTTGCAATTGGCCTTTTTGCTCAGATATTGTTTTATTGGGCTTGAAACAGTGCCTACTTCTAACGTTTAAATGAATATATCTATAGATAATATGGAAAAAACATTGCACAATAAAAATTAGTGTAATTGAAATTAATCAAATTATATAGATATGACCCAATTTGATTTAACTTCGGATTTTCACTGCAAAATAAAAAAGCTTTGTTCAAAATTTCTAAATACCGAATCGAACAGAATAATAGTAAAAAAAAAAAAAACAGAAAAGAAGAGCCGGATGCTAGCGATCGTTCGTCTGCCCTATACCAATCATCTTCTCCATTTTCACCCGATATGCCACGTGCCAAGTTCCAGGTCCTAACACGTGTAACGGCTCCACAAAATCGTAAATCGTCTGCCTGCCACGAACATAATCCTCCCGCTTTCTAAGCAGATTCCATTTTACATTTTGCACTCCAAAATCCACCTGGTAAGTTCTCATTTTTTTTCCCTTTCTTTTCTTTGTGTTAATTTTTTGTTAAGATTAACCTTCTATAACTATTTACGTGCTTTTAATAATTTGAATTTAGTCATTAATTTTGGTAGTAATTGATTAATTTGATTGTTTTTATACGTGTTTGAAGAAATGCCCATGTGGAGGATAAGAAACTGTTTAACGAGCTGTTGTTTTTCAATGTTTTACTTTTGAAGAGAAATAGGGAAATGATAGATTGAGATTCATGGGTAGTACTCCATTTGGTAAGATTATACCTTAAGGTACTTGTGTCCGGTTCTTGTTTGACGCTTTGAATTTCTATCAAAGATTCAAAGTTAATGTTAAAAATTGCTAAAAATATGACATAGTCACGTCTGACACCAGATTCTGAGTCAATGTAACATAGAGGTAGACAAGGGAAGGCCGGCAGGGTGACTGTGGGTGTGAGTATAATTTTGTTTCTTCCATTTGTTTAACCAAATTGAGGGTATAATGTTCAGTTGTAGGAGGATAAGACTATATTTTATGGGAATGAAGGAGAGGGAATGAAAATTGAAGAGGTAATAACTTTAAAAAAAAAAAAACATGTCTTCCTTTTGATTCCTTTGAGAATGAAGGGGAGGGAATTAAAATTGATCAAAGGGGAAACGTGTGATTCATCTAGGTAGCTCCCTTTTGGAAGCAGAGCAAAGGCAGAGAGAATTAGTTTTAGTCTTAAAAGTACATCGGAAGGAAGACTGTCTAGGCAGAGCACAGGGATTGAACTTGAATCTGAAAGATGTGAGCAGGTGTGAACTCTAATCCGATAGTGATAGATTACAAGCACAATTGATCAAAACTTGGTCTTGTACTTCACTTTTGTTTATCTATGCTAGTAGCCTCCAAATATTGTGCATACAATCATTCACAGATATATAAAGAAATTCTTTGATGCATATTCATCATCATTAAAACAATGCTTGATCTTTTTCGTTCTCAATTGTTTCATGTCTATTGCGCAACTAAAATAAGAAATAGTACTATTATTAGCATCCTGTTCTGGCACCTCATGTTATCGAAATGGGATACTTGTACTTAAGGGAAGGCAATATGAATTTAGTTATGCCATTTGGGAGCTATCAATCTGGCATAAGTCTTATTTTCTGTGCCTTATTTTCAGAGGTATTAGTGAACAAAAAGCCTGCTTTCCTTATGGCCATAATTCTTATTTTCAGTTGGAATTTAGGACCGTTTATGTGATTAACTCTACTTCTAAGCATTGTATGATTGTCACTTTCTCTCAGGGCAATTCTTTGGCATGGAGATTGCTACCACAAGGTAGGCTTACCTGATAATTACATCAGTACCGAGGATAAATGTTTTCTCTGAAAGTAACTTTGCTAATTAAGCTGATATCTTTTCAATCATATTTGGTACTGGTTTAGTTGGTGCTGTGCTTTTGAGACTGTGCCAGTGGTATTACATATTTTCTTTGATTTCTAACATACCAAGGCCTGTTTCCCCACTCTTTTTAATGAGACATTTTATGTGTTTGCTGCTTAATAACCAAAATGTAATAGTCTGTTGAACTAGCCAAGATTATCACTATTTTCTGTCTTCCTCTGTGTCTCCCCCCCTGATCTTTACAATTGACACTTCTCCTTGTCATGTTTGCTTCTGTTGTGATTTTCTCAGGTGTTGTCTTGACAAACAAGTATCATGGATTTCGTCACACCTCAGAGCATTAGACGCGGAAAATGCCCACAGACTTCCTTATATTTTGACTGGCTGGAAGTTGAGGACAATTCATCAAAGGTTAACTTTAGATTCTGCTGGAAAGCAAAATAAAAGCTGTATTGTCTGGAAGACACATTCTGTGCCTGTTGGTTTGGAGGAATCCTCATCTCTACAGTCAGGAGATCCTTTAAATGAAGATGAGAATGTTTCTGAGGATTCACCAGAGAAGCCTTTTGCTAAACCGCTCAGCAGCGACGAGGTAAACTTACATGAGCTAACTTTTTCATGTCTTATAATAATTAGAAAATATGCAATGGAAATTGAAGCCATTTTAAAAGCATGCTTTCTGGATGGTAGAGTTATTGAGCAAAAAGGAAGGGAGAAAATAAAATGGAATAAAGGAAAAATATAAAATGCTGCTGTTGTTGATTCGGAGGCAGTCCATCTCCTGGTGGAAACCTCTCCTGAACTTAAATTTTGGTATAAATGAAATGGTTTTTAAAAATTCCAAAAAGGACCTATTTGTGATGAAAAAATAGGATTGGCTTCATTTTGCATAGTGTAGATTTGAACCTGTACTGATTGAAATTTGCATATAAGAAAATATCCATTTTCACAAAGCATATGATTGGAATTGCTGTTGCCAGTGCCTGTTGAAGTCTACAAGAGTCAAGGAAAAGCTGGTTTCATGTTGCATGTACCGTTAAATCTAACTTCCTTTCAGTTCCTATGATGATATTTTAGCTTAATAAGGATTTTATGAAATCTTTTGAGGTGTATTCGGTTTGAGGTATTCAATGTGTGTATCCAAAATACTAGTAGTATGCAATATCTGGGAATGGCATATTTAGATATCGCAAATAACTCATTCTGGTATAAAGATTTCTTATATTTATATGGTACAACATCCTTAAAATGGGCCCAAAATTTAATTCCCACTCTTTCCCACAAAATGTTAAGACTATTCTTAAAAATTCAACAAATTCGTTCTATGTCCTTTGTGGACACCTGTCACCACCGCATCAACTTGTTGGTAACTTTTATTTAAGGATAGATTGTTTTTGGTTGCAAGATTTCTCATCTTTAATCTAGGTTAATGCATAAAATTTGCAGGTTGCTTTTCTTTTTTAAATAAGATAACAATTAAAAGGGGGAATTTTGATGGTTAGCATGAGTTGTATAAATATTATGGCTTTTCTGAAAATTTTCATTTAAACATTACATGATTGGCTTTTGTTAACCATGCATGTTTCTATAATTTAATTTTAATTGAAGATAGGTTGGATTTAGTCCCATGACCAGCAGTTATTTTGTTAACTGAGATGTGCAGCTTTAGCTCATTACGGCAATGAAAATTATGAGCAAATTCCCCCCAGTTCAATGATGACTGAATTTTGTTAGTGCATTATCAATTGTTTGGATGTAAAGTCCTATTTATTTTTTACTTAAATGTTTAAAGCTAATTTATATGCCATCTACAACAGTTGAAATCTCTATTGGCTGACTCTGAGAGGGCAAAGCTCACCAAAAAATTAAGTGAATCTAACCAGCAAAACCGGTTCCTCAAAAGACAGGTTTGTATGTGCTCATATTTAGGCATGTTTTTCCTTTGCCAAACTTAAATAGTCTCTTAGTTTAGATACTTTAATTGATCTACTTGTATGTCTTTGGTAATGACTAATGATCAGAAATTCTTTACAATGGCACGACTATACCTCAGCAAGCTTTTATGTATTTTATTTATGTATTTTCTATGTTCTGATGGAATTAAATTCAAATAAACATGACATGTAATATTTCCTATTTTTCGGCCAAATGAACCCCAGTAAGAGAAGAAAAGAAGCTGTCAAACCTGGAAACAATGTCATAATTTGCTTAAAACATTTTTAACTGTTAGCTGAGATGAAACTCTTGTTTAGCATCAAATTTGGCATCAGATTGGAGAAAACTGGAAGGGAAACCTGGGATGTCACTGGTTTGTTCTTTGTGGGAGATCTTTTCTCTTTTAATTTTTAAATTTTTATGTTGCTGGCTTGAAGACAGTTATATTCATTTGATGTAAATGTGGAGGGATTGAGTTCAGAATGTTCTGAAAAAATTTTGCAAAGAAAATTTGATGCCCAAAGCATTTCATGTATAGAGTTTACAATACTCTAAAATGCACGTTTATGTCTTTCCAAACTAAGAGAATATGCTAAGAAACTTCATAATTTACATGATATTGCTTTTACAATGAAAATGGTTTCCAGTTTAAAACAACTTGCATGGCAAACAGAGCCAAAATAAAATCTCTTTAACTCACAAGGTGACTTATCTATGCTGTCTACAGTTACAAATCAAGGAGGATTCACTAGTTAACTTCAAAAGTGAACTTGCGGTCATGGAACTGGAGATTCAGGTTACTATTCACTTCAGTTACAGTTGCATCCTCAAAATTTCTTTTTCCATTATGAAAACTCTTTCTTTTTCTCATATTGTGGATTGATTAAAGCAAACTCACTGAAAGAAAATGTTGAGACTTTTCATCATGCCTTGTGTGAGGAAATCAATGCTACTTGTTATTAATCCAAGTGTCCTAAAAGAAAACTTTTTTGGTTCCAAGCTTGGTGATTTTTCTTATCTTTCTATGGTTGTAGTCCTAGAAATATGTGTTAAAGGGTTCCTTTTGGACCATAGAAGAGCCGTTGTTGCTAGTGCTGGTGAGGCTGAAATGTTTTTTGTATACTTCCAGCTAAGTGAAGCTTGCCAGACTTTGAAAATTTGTCCCTTTGCAAAATTCTCCGTGCAAAAGGTTTTCTTTTGCTGCAGTTTTGATGCTTTAGATTGAGCTGTATTTCTGCATACAACCCCTTTGGTAATATGGAGGACAAATTGCCCTGGGCTCTGCCATAATGCTGTTAAATTTTGGTGTTTATGTAGGCAAACTTGCTCATTTATTATGTCTGTAATTGTTTGGTCTAAAGGCTTCTCAATAAAATTGAAAAGCTATAAACCTAGTTCAGACGTTGAATCTGTTAGATGTGTGAAACAATTTAATAAGTGAATTGTTCAAACCAGTGAAGTCATCTAAGGATTTTTCTTTGCTGGCAAAAATAAAAAATCTAAGGATTTTTACACTTGGGGACAAAGATGCAGCCAGTGAGGTCAAGTTCTATACTGATGCACATATATTGTTGGTTAAAAATCTAAAGATTTTCTGATGAACCTATTGTAGCTGAGGGAACCTGAAGCCCTACACGTATCATTCTTAAATAGTGCAACTGTTTTCTTTTTAGGTTGTAATCTTAATCCTTGCTCCTAAGCAGGGGTCATGCCATTTATCAAAAGTATAAGAAAATGAAATATAACTATTCTTGAAATTAAAAATCACCTTTTGCTTTCCTTTTCTTGGTAAGAAAGGTTGCATGTTATCCATCATGTTTCTTAGGTGTAACTCTGGTCTTTCTGGTGTCTGGTACTGGGGTTCGTATATCTGTTAGTAGACCAACAGCCACTTTTTCCTTTGTTTTGCCCCTTTTATTTGGATTCCTCTGATTTATATTTTTGCATTAAGAGATAAACAACCTTTTTCAATATATCTGGGGTGACCAACATGTCTCACCTCGCATGTGGCTCCTGTAACAATTTTGGCAGTTTGGCTCAACTGGCATTTATGTGTTTTGTGCGATACAATCTGATGTAACTGGTTTGCCTGTTCTTTTATATGTTTATTCAACTGAAAATCAATTTGAAGGCAGAGAAGAAGGGCATGCTAGTCATCCCAAAGTATTCTCTTTAAACTAGTAATTTTTACAGCAAAGGAACCTTAGTCTTTAAACAAAAGTTTGAATTTTCTGTCACAACATGATGGGAGATGTCAGCAATATTGTCACAGCCCAACTTTTGACATTTCCTCAAATAACATTTAGATTGCAACAATTTTTCGATCTATACTTGGTGTGGCTTGTTAGGTGGGATATAGTTTATGCAGTAGTCCATAATGCCTAAGACATGCCTCATGAATTTTGGCATATCAGTGGATTGTTGTTAAGTGCCTATGGCATTGTAGCATGTTTGACATTTGTTGGTACAGATCTTGTGAATCATTGTTGTTAGTCTGACGTTAGGCTTTTACCATTGACCATGAGGAGGAAAGGGAAATAACCAACCAATTCAATCCAAGGCATTTTGGCTTCTTAGATGGTTGGTTCTATTGATGCTTGCTAATCCTTGTTGGAAGGAGCTCCAACATTAAGGTGACATGTCTGTTAACAGTGTTGTCTTTACCTGCTTGTAATTATTTTTCTATATTTTCAGTGAGAAGCTGAAACTAACTTCTATGTTTTGTAAAATTAGCTTTTCAGGCCCCCCCGATTTGGGATGCTACCCAAGCATCAAGTTAAAGCTTTTGTAAAAATATTGCTCATTGTTTTTCATGTACAGGCATTAGTCTCACTGGCAGAAGAAATATCTCAAGCTGGCATTCCAGAAGGTTCAAGAAAGATCAATGGGAGATACATTCAATCTCATCTTCACTCCCGCTTAGAAGGTAATGGTTCTCCACTGAGTTATTTTCGACCAACAGAATTCTTCATTCTTATCCAAGTTTTGATGATTTGACAAATGCCCGAATGATCAGGGCTCAAGGTACTTTTCAATTAAGTCTTGTTCCCTGGCAAAAAAATGAATTAGACAAATTTGGCAATGATGCAATTGAAGTTGGGTTTCATTGTGTTAGTAGACAAACTTAATTTCCCCATTGCTGTATTAGAGAATTGGCTGGTAAATATTTTAAAGTTTGTGAGACACTATGAATTATTCCTATTTCCTAAAGACTTTTAGTTCGTTTATTATTTTTTGGTGTAAAGCTGTACATGAGAAATTGAAGGAACAAATAAAGGATGTAGATGCTGCACAGTCTAAGGAGATTCCCTTGTTCTGGTGTGGCATGGCAGAGGTAAGTGCAAAAGAATGTGCCTTTATTTACCAGAGATTTTTCTTTACAAATAAAAATTTGAAATGTCATCCATTTTGGTATTGTGCTTGGATATTATTGCAAAAACCACAAGCTATTAGAAAAGAATAAGATATCAAAAAGTAAGACAAACACGTGAAGAAATTAAACCCCAAACTGTAAGAAAGAGCAAGGAAACTAATAGAGAGTAAGAGAAATCATAACACAGCAAAGGGTTGGTATCTGGGTTCAGATGCTGGGGTATAAAAAGGAAAGCTCTTTCTTGCATATCATCATTGCAAAAAAGCTGAGCCTCCCTTGCTTACGTAAATAAGAGTGCCTTATTAGCATACAAAACCTTATAACAATAACTCCTAGTGGAACCACAGGTCTGAGATTGTTGTTTAGAGTTCTTATTTTGTCATATACAGTAATATTAAACAAGTTTTTTTTTTAACCTTATCTTCAATAATTAGGAACATTTAGAAACTCAATAGTCTGTTCCTTCCACAGTGATGTAGCAAAATTTATTTTTATAAAAAAAAATTGATCTCTTTCCTTAATTAATCATGCAGAGAGGCTACTGTTTGTTCAAATGACCAAAGTTTTAGGTTGTAAAGTGCAGAAGAAATTAAACACGCGAAGAAATTAAAAATAATAGGATAAACGCCACCTATACCCCTTGTGGTTTCAACTTTTCTTACATGGTACCTTGTGATTTTCTTTTTCTTCATTTGCACACTGTGGATATCTTTTTTCTCAAATTTCTGAAGGCTGTTAATTTTAGTTTGAAAATTACAAAAATACCCTTAAATATGAAGAAATAGAATAGCTTTAAATTGAGAGCATTTTGGTAATTTTAGTGGGCAAAATTGACGGCTTACCTCTTGTGGGAACAGAATTTATTCACAGGGTACTGATTGGGAATAAAGATTTCCACATGATGCTTACTAGGAAAACAAACCACTGGGTAACATGTGAAAAATGTTGAAACTACAAGAAATGTAGGTGAAGTTTACCCAAAATAATAAAAGAAAAAGAATTAATCTAAATAGAACTCTATCCTTCAAGGTTTAATGGTATTTTTATGGAATCATTTTTGTAAATAAGGCAGCTGCCTAGTTTTGATTGATTGTTACCTGTATTTATAATGCCTCCTTTATTATTCTTTTCTTGAGATGAACTTATGAGATGGATGTTTCAATCAGACATGCTTGGTGAACGAAATTAATTTAGACTTTTTAACATATTAATGCTTATCATGTTTAAAAAAGCCTTTTTTAATGAAACTTTATATTTTTAACCCTTCTCTGATGGGTGATGCATAAATTGTTGAGAAAGTTTTATTTGTTTGTAATGCTGGTAGAGTGTACAAGTTATGGGCTCATTTGATGGGTGGAGTCAAGGGGAGCACTTATCACCAGAGTACACTGGTTCTTTTACCAAGTTCTCAACCACATTATTGCTCAGACCTGGAAGGTGAAACTCTGTTTACTCAGTGCACGGCTGTTACTTCTTCTTCTAACTTTTAGTTTGACATTGGGAAGGTATGAAATCAAGTTCGTGGTGGATGGAGAATGGCTGCTGTCACCAGAATACCCTACTGTTGGTGAGGGACTAATGGAAAACAACTTGCTAATTGTAGAATAGCTACAGTGTCCATGGAGGTTCTAGTCATGCTAGATATAGAGAACTGACAATTGCATTGTTTTCCAGTATGAGCTTCTTCCTTGTACTCTTTATCTCTTCTTGCTTATCTACTTGTATCCACTGTATAGCTTTGAACTGGCAGCTTAATAAAATAGATTGTTTTAAGGATTAAATTAGGATGAAAGGAAAGGGTCAAAACTCTTTTGTTTTTCTCATCCTCTCATATTTCTCTCTTACCAAACCAAAGAAGGAAAAGAAACACTATTTGCCTTCCACTCCTTTTTCAAGCTCTCTGGTTCTCCCGTGCTAGGGTTGACCTAACGCTACCTTTGTCTTGGAATATCAAAAGAAAGCATCCTATTAGAAAAAGCACAATTTATTTGGATTACGAGCCATATATATGGAGCTCATTCCTCCACTTTTGCCCTTTGTTTTTCTTCTTTTAATTCTATGTATTTGGTGAAATTTTCTCCTTTCGTCCCCTCAAAAGGAACACAAGGAACATACAAGGGAGATATGCCAAAGCTTTCCAGTTTGGTAACCCAAAAATATTCCTACGTGTAAAAAATATCCTCATGCCTCTTTCCTACTTGGAGCACGCAACGACTTGTTTACCTACTCCATTGTCCCTTTACCGATATTACTATTATAGGAAAGCGAAATCTTGAAAAGGGGTATTAATTCAAATCCTATAAATGTGAAGTATTAAATTTTTATTTTTTATTTGTAAATGTAATTAATCTAATAAAAATTAAAGTAGCCATTAATTTGTTTGTGACCCTAAAAAATTAAACTGGCCCTTTGTTTCGCTAAGGGATAGCTCTCAATTTTCCTTTTAAAAAAAAATTTGAAAAAACTCTATCAAAGAGCTCGCTCAAGCTTTGCACATATATTAACAATCAACTTTGCTTTAATTTAACTCAATTTTATAAAAAATTAAACTTCAGTAGATCTGCTATATGAATGGCATAAATTAATTTAAAATATATAACTGAAGTGAGAAAAATTTAAAATTCTGCATATCCAAAATCATCATATCACATACAATTTTTTTTCAAATAGTTCATTAACAGTTAACACATACGCCAATATATTAAAAGTTAAAAACATGATACTTAAAAAAGGCTCTTCAACTATTTTAAAATAATTTAAATATATTGTTATTCTTCTATTAAGTTCAATCAAAGTTCTTATATTTTTATTTTAAGCCAAATAAAACTTTATGACTAAATGTTGCTAGTTAAAATGGTATTTGTTATTTTATGTTACGTGATGCTAATATGTTACAATAAATAATGATGTAGTATGTTGATTTAATATGATGAAATAATTACGTGGCATTTTTGTTTTTCTATGTCAACGTGACGTAAGCACCACGAGTGTGAAATGACAGTTAACATTTTAGATAAATAGCAATTAGTAAACTATTAATTATAAGAGTCTATTTGATCTAAAATCAAAATAAGAAGACTTGATTGAATGTAATAGGAAAATAAAGATTTATTTCAATTTTCTTAAATAGTTCATAGACTTTTTCAAGTATTATGCCAAAATTAAAGATTAATTCTCACTTATTTCATAGTATTAAAAACTAATAAATATTAAGAAAACCCTCACGAAAATAAAATAAAAAAAGACACAATTAATTGAGTTGATTTGGAAAGCTAAAAGGCCAACGAAATTAAAAATTGGAAGAGGTACAAAAAAGGCAAACACCTTAAAATTTAGGACCAAGCATATAAATTAAAATTAATAGTTAGCAAAAAAGAACTAATTGTCTTCTATTGCAAAATAGAGGACCCTAATTAAATTTGTTTTTGTACTTGGTGTTCTTATCCTTTATGTACATCCTACTTCTCTTCACCACTGCCATCACTCCTGAAAGTATACTTGAATGTCAGTTATTAATATGATTTCCTCTCTTTTCTCACAGGGAATCTGACGCGTTGTCCCCTTGTTGCTTTGAATCTCATCTTTCAATATCTTGTTATGCTTTTTCCAAGAAAAGACCAAGAAGGAGGAAAGAAAAGGTCATGAAGAGGAATGTGCAAAAGAAGAAGGGAAATGGAAACAAGAATGTGAAGAGCAGCAGGTTCTTGATTACTATAACAATGTCGTTGGTAACGCAGGTGGTGAATGAGGATGATCTTGTTGTTGCTGTTACTGATCATGTTGCCTTGAAATCTTATGCTCATCAAGGCCTCCTTCAGGCTTTCGGCTTCGACCCCATTCTGCAAAAGCAGTTGCAAGATCCGAGATGATTAGTGAACAGGGACGTGGGTGGAAGGCATGGCTCAACGAATCCTGCGGCACGTTTCAACATATTGTCCTCTCATTAACATTATGTTGTGTTTAACTAAAGAGTGTGGCTTTCAGATATATTACAGTCATCATTAATTAGCTACATATGAAAACAATTCTAACGACAAGTTTTAAAGGATCTGAGAAACATATTGATATTATTTTATTCGACTTGTTTTGTCTCGCCTTACCTATGACCTATCATGTAATCATTTGATTAATTATATATCTGATCTCACAGTTGCAGCACCATAATTGATCGAACAAGAATACCTTTTGTTATTTAGCAATTAGAGGACATGTTCTCCTTTGCATATAATTCAATGTATATGCCTCATATCCCTACTTTCCAAAGGAACGATGATTCTTGTTTTATTTTGTTATTAGTAATCTAAATATAGGAAAAGGATAATAATAATTTGTCATCTAATTATTATTATTATTATTATTATTAGGTGGTTGGGGAGTTGAAAGAATAAGACATAATTTGTCATCTAATTTGAGATTCAGTTTTATGGTTGCTATTATATACTACCAAAATAATAATAATAAAGCCCAAAGTCTATATTTTTTCTGTCTTTTTTCATTCTTTTTTCCTTCTATTCTAAAAAACACCCTTAAAAATCTAAAATTCTGTGTACGTCCCTTGGACTCATAAATAAATATAGTCTAAACCGGCAAACGACCCAGCCAGGTAAAAAAAAGAAACCATCAAAAACAGATGTCCATTTCACAGCTCCTCCCTTAGCTACAGTGGCCACGTAGCTCATGATAAATATATGATAATATAATAATAATGATAATTACGTTTACGTGTCAGCAAAGTTGTGTATTTTTTTATTTTTAGTTTTGTAACATATAATAAATTGCCCAAACCCCATTTCTTTTATATTTACTAGAAAGTAGCTCACATTGAGCAAAGGGATTTGTAAAATTTTTTAAGTTATTGATAAAATAATTAATTAGAGAAAAATGATTTTTTTATATAAAGAGTTTGTATTAAATTTTCTCAAATGATATATAAATATGATAAAATGATATAAAAAAGTTGTTTACAAGGATAAATAATTGAAATTGTAATCGATACAATTAATAACAGATGAAGGTTGTGTCATAATATTGATTGAGTTATATATATATCAGAACATAAAAAATGAATGTTATATGATTAAAAAGTGCCATGTTGTTACAAAACAAAGAAATAGAGACAGATTTTTGTTATGTTTACAAACTACGCTGTGTGAAAGAAAATGTTACATAGTATATAACAAAAAGTTATTTATCAGCAATAAGTTCATATCTTCAACAAAGGTTCTTGTGTCCAAAATTACAGTGCAAAGTAATAAAAGATATTGTAATTATTTTATACATATATTGGTAAAGTAAGCAGTTTTAGACAACAGAAAAAGAGAAAAAAAAGTTTCAAAGGCAGAGAAAATGAATCCAAATTCATTGAAAATGAAAAGAAAAAAAAAACCTTTTGGATGGTTTCATCTAAGGAAGAGAAAACTTGGGAATAATCTAAGTTGATCAAAAGCAATAGAGACTTCCTGCTTTAACTAAAGTTAACGATGATCTCCTATTGTGGTTAATCAAATATAGGTTTTGGAATAGTGTAGCTTTCATTAGCATTAAAAGAAGCAAAGAAAAACATTACTTAGCATTTAATAGTTGCAAAGAAGAAGCACATGAAGACAGTTCAAGCATAGGATTTGAATGATATAAAATTTAGAAAATGAGAATAAAAACAACTCTTAATGGAAAGTTCATAATCTTTGAAGGCAATAATTGGTTGTGTAAGGTTGATCAAATTATTGATCATACTCTTAAATGATAGAAAAATATATGTAGTAAATATAGATTTTAATAGGAAAATGACAACTTAAGATGTAACAATGATTAAATATTCTCACGTCAATAATCCATTTTTCCAATCTACATGACTATTAAGATACGTAGGCCCAAAAATATGCTCAACATGAGTAATAGTTGTTCAAAGAAGAAAATACAGAAAGCGTTGAAAAGAATCAACAAAAAGATAGAATATAAATTGATGCAAAGAATCTGAGAGAATAATAACAAAAAATATAGCAAACTCTAACAACAATAACCCAAATGTAGTCAATTTGAGTCAAGTTGGGAATAGAGATTAATGGACAAAAATTTATCAATGACAAAAGTAAAACATTGGAAAAAAAGGAGATAGGTGTACAATGCAAGATGTCATGAATTTTTAACTGCTTTAAAGGACGGCTATAGATAATATGCATTGGAGAAATTTCGCAACAACTTTTATAACGTTAAATTTCTCATATTTGAAAAAGACATCAAACTTAATCAATAGAAGCAAAAATTCAGTAAAGAATAAAAGAGATAGTTGACTCAACCTACGAGTAAAAGATAAACAAAACCACTTTTTTGTACCGCGAAAATATTGATATCAACTTTCATATCAATCCATTCATTTAATATAACAAATCTGAACAGAAGTTAAAGGGTCTTTGTTTTAAGGTTCACACTTATTTTACTGATAAAAATAATCCCTAATCTTTCTTTAGGTTTAAGTTATTTACTAACTTTTATAAGCATTTTCTTTTTCCAAAATACGATACTCAAAAATATAAAAACAAATTGGTAACAAAAATATTATTATTTGATCTCTAGTACTTTGACATCATGAGCAATGTCTTTGTTAAGTATTGTTTTGATTTGCTAAACAATTACTTTCAATAAGATTTGAGAACTTATTATGCATGAAACAAATTTTATACCAATAATCATGGCAATCAGTACATTAACAGTTATAAAATTTATTTTATTTAATAGTGCGTTCTCTTCCAATTGTATCATTTTAACAACGGTTGTGGTGTCAAAGAACAGTCCAAAT